TTCTATCGATCTCCAAACATTGTTTATATTTTTAATATAGTTTTCCAAAAATTTGAAAAAACTTTCCATCAATAAAATATATTTGTTAGTTCATTAGTTTGTGTGTTTTTTTGTTTGTTTGTTTGTTTGTTTGTTTGTATGTTTGTTTGTTTGCTTGATTGTTTGTTTGTATGTTTGCTTGTTTGTTTGTATGTCTGTGTGTATGCATGGGTGTATGTGATGTAGACACGTATCGACTCGCTTTTTTTTCTGTTCAGGTAGACAATTTTGAATGAGAATACCTATGTTAAGACTGCTTGTGGTTTGTTGTTGTTTAATGTTGTTGTTGTTGTTTTATTGTTGTTGTTGTTGTTGCTATATTGTGGTTGTTGTTGCTATATTGTTGTTGTTGTTTTCTCCGCGTTTCATATATATTTATATATGAATACTCGCATGACAAGCAACTAATTAGCCAACCAGCCAACCAGCCAACCAACCAACCAACCAACCAACCAACCAACCAACCAACCAACCAACCAACCAACCAACTGACCTATGCAGACATACATGAAGGCTACACCAAGCGCTTCAATTCTCTCTCCCGTGTTATGTGCAGTCATCTGTGGGCCACCATTCAAACTAGCCCCCGCAAAATCCTCCCTATGGCCATACTTTTTGTGGACCCCTTTAAGCCACCGATAAGCGAATGGAGACACTGACATATCGTCTTCTAGTATTAAGGCAATTTCGTAAGGTTGCTTTGTGCTAGATTTTTAAAGGGAAATTTGTTTGAGAAGTAGTTATTTATCATTTTTTATTGTTTTTGTTTTTAAAATAAATATAAAAAAATCGAACTTGTTTTTATTATTTTTGCGGTAGTTCGGGCGCCAGGTGTCAATCCATTGGCCGTAGATGCCAGCGTGCACACCTTGTATGTGCACTCTGGTCGGGCCTGAGTGAGTGAGTGAGTGAGTGAGTGAGTGAGTGAGTGAGTGAGTGAGTGAGTGGAGAAATCAGTGAAGAAATGAATAAAAGAGAGATGAATGAGTGAAGAATGAATGAACACACATACGCACGCACGCAAGCACACACACGCGCACGCACAAACACACAGGCAAAGGAGCATGGAATTAATTTCAAAAGCAAGAACAATAAATCGAAAGTTTCACAGCATGCAGATGCATGGAGCTTGTTTGTCAGTGTGTGTGAGCCTGTCTGTGTGTGTGTTTGTGTGTGTGTGTGTGTGCGTGCGTTTTACCTGCTCTTAAAATATGTGGAAATATGTAAAAAGCGAGTGAATGAATGAATGAATAAATGAATGAACGAACGAACGAACGAACGAATTAATGAATGAATAAACGCTAGTAACAAAAAATTAGTAATAGTAGTAGAAAGCAGGAGCTTGACAAGTAGTAATAGTAATATATAATGATAATTATCAAGAGTTACATTCTTCTGAGTTATTATTTAAGTATTTCTTAAGTATATCAACCAGCCAATCAACCAACCAACCAACCATTCAACAAACCAACCAATCAACCAACAGCCAATCAAAAAACCAACCAACTAGCCAGCTAACCAACCAGTTAACCAACCAATCAATCACTCGATCACCTACTTGCCTTTCTTCCAAGCAAAAGTAGCTGCCACTTCCAATGTATCCCTATCAATCCGCCCGTCACCCCTCCTATCGATCCAGATCTCCATGGCCGCCCGATCCCCGTCAAGAAGAAGGTCATCCAGTGACCTTAACAAAACCTTCAACGACCTTGACCTCGAGAATGACATGACTATGACCCGAAGGTCGATGACGTCATCAACAATATCACAGGCATTGTTGTCGTCATCACCAGCGTTTAAATTATTCCAATACGAACACGGAATTCCGTAGCGGCACATTTTGGGATTTTCCCGAAGGATTTTACTTAGAAATGGCTCAGGAATAAGTTCTTCCAAGTAGGCAAAATGGTATGTTGGGTATGATCTGGCTGCTTTTAATTGGATGTGGTTGAAGAGTTGGTTGGTTAGGAGAAGGATGATGATGATGAGGATGATCAGAGGTTTCCATTTTTGGATGGTTTTGTAGGGGAGAACTTTTAGCTGATAGAATGTACAGTGAATCATTTTTTTTGTTCGAGATATTTAGCGTTTTTGGTTCATTGTGTAATCCCTTTCCGCTTATTCTTCAATGTTTCGTTTTTTTTCAAATTTTTGAATTATATGCCAGTTATTGACTGTTGTGGTAGTAGTTGTAGTAGTAGTAGTAGTTGTTGTAATAGTAGTAGTAGTAGTAGCGATAGTAGCTGTACTACAACTAGTGGTCCATTACGATATTGATGACAATCCCAACAAAACTTAATTAATGCCAAAATTAAAAAAACAAATAAGTGATAAAAATAAACACAAAAACAGTAATAATAATATAATTATAGTAACAATTATTATTATTTTTGCTAGTAATAGTAGTAGTAATATTATTATTATTATTGTTATTATTTAATGTTAACCTTTAACTTAAACAAAATAGCAGTAACATTTATGCTTCTTAAAAAGCTTCTAGATTCATACATGCATAAAATAATATACTCATATGTATATATAAATAAATACATATATATATATATATGTATACATATATATATATATATTTATATATATATACATATATACATATATATATATATATATATATATATATAATTATTTATTTATTTGCATAATTACTTGATACGTTTTAAAGTACCGGATTTTAAGTTAGGTAGTTTAGATAATGATGAAGACGACGACGACGATGATGATGATGATGATGCTGAAGGGGTATGATGATAAAGATGTCACAGTATTTTTGATGATGATGACGACGACGATGATGATGAAAAAAATGTTGGTGATGATAATGATAAACCTACAGAGGTTCGTCTCTAGTCCGCTGTTTGTTTAGTTTATAAACAAAATTTGTTTTGCGTTCTGACTATATATACATATATATACAATATGTATATATATATACATATATATTTATATATACAATATGTATATATATATATACTTATATATAATATATACAGTATGTATATATATATATACAGTATGTATTTATATATATACATATATATATATGACCATGTTATATGCGGTATTGTATAAATTCAACCAAATTGTTGGCATTAATCAATTTAAAGTTTGTCCTTTCAATTTTCCTTACTAGAATTTTCTGGGAATTGTTTAGTTTGTTGAAAATAGAGCTATCCAAGTTCATCATGAAAATTCAATGAAACTGTTGTTATCCGAATTCATCATTCCGACGAGGCTTTATTTCGATTTTTCATAAATCATCTTCAATTCAAGTTTGGTTAATACAGTTTCTTTAAACGAAGCAAAGTTCTTCAGCAAAGTTTATTAGCTTGGGTCGTATTTTTCATGTTAGTTGTTGTCATTCCTATGTTCTTCGTTGTTATTGAAGTTAGTTCTAAGGTTCTTTGCTGTATTCTTATTTGGGGTTTATTGATATCTATTAAGACAGCTTCTGCAATTTTTAAATATAATAATTCTTAATAGGATAGAGTGTAGAATCAGGAAGACCATAGTAGAGCGAGTTACAACAATTAATCCTAGATAAGACTAACGAAAGTAACAAGAAGGAGAAGAGTAGGATTGTCAAGAAAAGGCAAAAGTTTTTTATCCTTACGCTGATAAAACTAAGAACTTCTAGCAAGACTATTAAATATGACATGTACCTTTTTAAAAATAAATTGAAAAAATATTTAATTACAAAAAGTTCCGTCCTTAAAGCATAATAATCGACTAAAATTTAATTCCATCAACATCAAAACTGTTTTTTTCATCAACAATTCTAATTCTAACCTATTAACAATTTTCGTCATTTCATCAGAACATTAAAAAACAATTTTGAGTTACTAGCTGGCCTTTTGCAGGAAAGTAACTAAGAATTTTTTTTTTCTTATATTTTGTTATTCTATAAATTTATATTATTATCTACAGATGTCGGTAAGTTACATTAAAATTCAGCACAACCTACTAAGGAGTGTTCACACACACACACACACACACACACACACACACACACACACACACACACACACACACACACACACGCACACACACACATACCAACATCCAAACGATTAAACAAACAAGCTTACATCGAAGCAAACCAACAAACATATGTACACAGACAAAATTTTTTAACATTTATAAATGCAAACGTTTATAAATTTAATCAATGTAATGTTCAATAATATTATAATTTTCGTCATCATTATCTTCATCATTCTTCTTCATCGTCATCGTCGTCGTCGTCATCACGGCAAGCTATTATTACGTCACAATCC